AGCGAACGTATGAAACAAAGGTCATTACTGGAATTGATTACAAATAACCGCCAATGCAGTGAGCCGCAATACGCACGAGTAGTCAGGCGAGACATTGTTTATCCAAATTGGGCTTTGCGTTTCACCTCAGCTGTCGTGGTGCAAGTAAACTATGATGTAAGAGACAAATCCATCAGCCTGATGCGCTCTGGTTTTGTTAGACATGCAGAGCAATCCCAATGATCAATTTTATAATAACGCTCGTAAAAGCGTTAAAAACTAATCGAAAACGTTCAGTGGATGGCGAGCTTAAAGGCTTTGTCATTAGAATCTTACGGCGCCGATCGTGTCCTAACGCGAAACCCTCAGAGCTATGTCCCTAACTCGAGGGCTAAAGTCAGTCTCGCTAACCGCCCGATGCCATCTGCGCCACGTACTCTGACAATTACTGACAATTTAATTAAGCAAGTTACATCCGGCGTGACTGCTATTAAATCGACCCTAGATGGCCCACCTGACATGTTGGTCACAAAACCGGCAGTCCAAAGCCAGGTAACATACACATCGATCGCCTAGATAAAAACATCCTAAGATACACCCATACGTCCACGTTCTGAAACAAACCAGAGCAGTGCGACGAAGTTCACACAAAATTCTTTAGTGCCCGTTAAACAATCCAAGTTATCAGCCACAGCCTTCTAACATACATTCGCTAAACAGAACCACATTGTGTTAACTGTCTTTGTACCGACGTTCCGGAGCCCAGATCGGACACAATAAAGGGCTAGTTAGGAGATGATCGCATACGATTTAAATTCATCTAAGATGAAATTATCATTCGGGATGAGCCCAATATGTTAACGCGTAGCAGGTCACTTAACTTCAGTGCCCTAATCCCGATATCTTTGATTAACGTGGAATTAAACTGAGGAGACAGAGACAGTCCTACGTTCAACCTTCGTTTACGCAAATCATCGAGAAAGTTAGGTATGATGAATGGCCGCCAACTCGATCGATTGGATCCGGTGGAACGTGTGACTAGACAACCAACACGGACGGCAGACTCGCTCGCAAGAGCAAGCAGACAAAGACATCGAAACCCAAGGAGCCGAGGTCAAAGCTCAACTGCCCATCAGTCAAGCTGAATGCGGATGGAATTCCCGACCAATAGTATTACTCGGCTCTAAGGCCAACCATGACGGTATAAAAACGCACGCCCACCACGCTCAGCGCACTCTCAGCGAGGCTCATCTAGGCTATTCTACGCTATTGCACGCCACTCAACTACGCATTAATGATGTCAACTTGAGTGGCGACGAAACGTTTGCAACAAAATTGCCAAGCTCAGCGCACAGTTCAACAGCCTCAAAAAGATATGTTCAGTAATTGCATTATACTACAGCATGGTAACCAGTAACATACTGGATTTGTGTGTCCGTATATATGTGTCAGTCGGCATGGTGATTGACCTTGTGAACTGTGATTGAATTCGTGAGTTCGTTTGCAGTGTTCGCCATCGTATGAAGGGATCGATTTAGCTCTTCGAATTGGATAACGTTTGTGAAGTGGGGATCCTCCGGATGGGGAAGAGGCAGTGACTTTATTTAGTGGCAAGTCACATCCGCCATGTCGCAGTGTTGTAAAACGGAACTTTGTGGCTTTTTATTGGGATAACGCTTACCAGACGAAAACCCACCATGTCCTGAAACACTGCCGCCGAACTATTCTCTGGAACGGGATTAACCCAAACTACCCAGCTGACGCGATGTGAAGGTTGTTCGCCTAGTCAGCCATTTGGCTAACCAGCCGTATGTTTCAGTATGGGCATTGTGGAAGTCAGTATTAGATGTTCCTTTAACCCGTTCTACAATGGCACCGTGGCTCAGTTCTGACAAGACTTTTGTATGGATCTGGGAATTCTACGATTCACTCGAATCCAATACCGGATTGTCGATAACCCGCCACCTACGTGGCCACAGCATGGATGAGGATACACCACTTTCGTTTTCCGCTATGTGCTTTCTCATTGATGCTTTGTCATCTCATAATCCGCAGTGTTTATCTGAAATGTCGAAAATGCGCCAAATGAGTGGGTAAAGCTTATTTGGCCTTGAACAAATTTATATGGCGCTGTGCGCAGCAGTGATGAAGTCATTGACTTCCTATAAACAAACTCGTGGCACCTCATGCGGTGTCGTACATGCTTTTGGTGTATGTTAGGATCAGATTTTAACTAGTAGGTCAGCATAAAGAAGTTTGCATTTCTATGCTCAGCATTTCTAGCACATAAGAATATTTTCTTCGTAATTTGCCCTTTGAAGTCAAGTTGTCCTCTTATCTACAGCAAAACCGTTTATGTCACATCCTCTTGCGGCAGTTAGGCAGCGCTTGGCTGAACGTGTCCAAGGCAGTCAACCGCCTGGATCCTCGCACCATAATTTACGTGCTCCAAAGTTCCGGAAGAAGTCAAGCACTATTTATATTACTGACTCATAAATTTCAAGTTTGCATATTTTCATCAGCATCTAATCACTAATGAGTACAGGTTTATTCATTAATTTCAAACTCACTATTCATCCGTGCACGGTTACTCGCATCATTAAACTCGGTGAGGACCGACGTTTATCCTCACCACTGCGTTTAGTTGATGCATTGCAATTACCCAACACTGCCGTGTGGAAGGCGTGAGTGCCGCGTTAAAAGGCGATTGTCGTTTCCACTTTATTTGACCTTTCCATTTCGTCTATATTGTCGTTAGAGCAATCATCTCCCGAACGCGTTTATGCCATCCATACAGTCATCACAAACTCCGACCTCAGTCGACAGCTGTGACAACGCCGTTAAGCTTCTCGATTTGTGTAATTCTGGTGCACCATGTACCAAAATACAAACCATACTAAGTGGTGGTGATGAAACTGTACATCCGTCTACAAAGAATCTGTTTAGCCTTTCTGAGCGATTTACTCACTCTCGTATTTGGTAAGTTGTAGGTAGCTCCGGTGGATAATTTGTAAAAGTATATGCCACGACTAGTTGGTATCATGACGCCGATCTAGAAGCTAACATACAAACAAAATTACAGCTGAGTTGAAGAAAGGAACAGCAAAATTCTATTTTGCAACTAATAAGCACCGCATCAGCAACGTACCTGTACTCGGATATTGCGATCCAGAGCAGTCTTAGGGGACACAATGGGACACTAGCCAGGGTGAAATAGGTTCTGCTTTTTACGGAATGAAAAGTTATGCATTTTCCCAGTTAAACAATCACCGTGACGAAGCAGCGCTATGCGCAGTTGCTGCGAAGATGCTAAAGGTAGTCCATGCCATTAGTAATATACATTGCGAAGAACGACATATGTGTATACTGACAACCAACCATGTGTGTCGATAACCAGTAAACCGCTGCACATCGTTCCCGTTCGTCTTTAACGCACAAGTAAATTGTTAAACGTAAATTGTTAACGGGAGACAAACAGATATGTGCCACAAAAATTAACATCCGACTTCAATTTTCCGGATGAACTCTCTATTTATGACTATCTGCTATTAAAGGAATCTCTGACCCGCTCATCGCTGCAAAAATAAATGCTGAAATACCTTCGTCGCACTCACCTGGGTGCCGCTTATACCACTAACCGAGCAAGAGAGTTGATATTTTTCCTGGGAATGACAGGTCAAATCGGGGATCATGTGTTGAATTGTGAGGCGCACCATTCACACAAAATCAGGTAGACGAGAGAATTAATGCTGCTGCTGCATCCTGTCCCTGATTAACCTTGGCAGCAGATGGGCGTGGATTGTTTGCGACAACTGAAAATAATTACTTAATCAATGTGGGTTACTAAAGTGATTAGTTGAGATCGATTGGCGGCAGTAGTCAACAAGCTCAGATGTCCATTCGCGTGGAACGAAATCCTAGAAGATGTGGTCTAGAACCATGAAATCCAGTTTACCAGTACTGCTTTCCATGCTTTCGCTACAAAGTGGAAATTCGTGCAACAGCAAACGAGACCGTAATACAGTGTACGTCAAATAGAAATTTGGAGTTGGCAGTGCAGCAGCCCAGGCGTATATTAAGAAACACTACAGCCACTCTCGAAGACCCGTAGGTTTTGCGATTGCTGAATCACAACACCCCTTCTACGGATATCTGTTTGAGCACAGTGCCGTGACTATAAAAGCAAAGGAGGCGAACGCTGATGTCGGCTTTTGCTACACTTTTGCGCCCAGTTTTGCTACAGCATGAGGTGCAACAAAAAAGTCTGAGAAGACCAATGACCACCCAGAATAGTCACTCCGACCGGGTGGCACAGTACTACCTGAGCTAGTAATATCCATTGGTTAAGAGCAATAGAAGAAATGTGTGGTGACTGCTTAGCTAGATACATAGTTATAGCAGATAAAATTTGGAGAGAAAATAGTCAGAGGAAATAGAGTGCATTTGAGACGAAACTAAAGACAAGCAGGATTGGAAATGGAGCTCCCTACGGCGTGTGGCTTCGAGTTCACAACTGAATATACAGTGAAGACGACGCAGAGTGGCTATGTGTGCAAGGTGCATAGCAATGTGGAGGCTCAACACAGGAGAGTAGAATACCGGTTGAGCGAATGGATCAACCAAGCATGCCAGACCGCCATTGGGAGATAGTTATAACGGATTCGCTCACTAAGACGCATTGGACGATATTCATGTGACTTACTCACGGTTTGTTTAACTGAGTCAAAGGAGAAATCTTATCGACTCAGAATTATCGTTAGTGTGATTTACAAGGAAGAGTTTTTCTTGTCAAACCCATTGTGGTGTATATATATATATATAAATTTCTATATGGCATGAGCAACTGTAATATCACTTAGGTACTATATTGGATGGTCACAATAAGCCAAAAGCAACAACGTAAGCCAAATATGCGCATTGTATAAGGAAAGGGATTTACTTCGTTTCCACAAACAAAAATTTGTGTTCACCATAAATAGGCAAAAGAATTAGTTGTTTCCAATATGTTTTTATTGCTGACATTAGAATGTAAAATTGAGGACTGCGATTAACAAAGCAGTGATGTCGTAACCATTTCCCGTTATGCTTCTCTTTTCCAACGCCTCTTTGGTTATTGTGATGGCATCAGTTTCATCCGACTCGAAGTGCATGAAAAAGACTCCTTTCACATATGAACTGCGTGGACCGGTTACAACACAAGTAAAGTTCTTGTATCCCGCTATTTTCTCAGTATTCACCAATTTCTCGTACTTGTTCATTCAAAACAGACAGTGGGGAAATTGCGATATTTTCATTAGTACGATATATTCAGTACAGAAGAATGCATTTCGCTTGAGGAATTCTGGTTTGTTTGAAGGACATTTTAAATGAATAGCTCATATTTTCACGTTTCATTTATCTTTTTTCTATGAATCCAATTTGCACTCAGACAAGTATACCATGGGCTATCAAAGACGCGTGTTAAAATCAAGGACACACATAGCTGTACATACCGCGCTCTTTTTATGAATACCACCACAACGATACTTTCATCAATCTACCTTATTCTTTCGGTGATTTAATAAGGAACGCCATGGCTTTTAAATTATCTAAGCAGGTTTGTATACAGTTGACGGCGTTCATAATGTGTCATAGAGGAACCTGTGTGTCCTTCGCGAAATGAAGCTGGCTGGTTGGGCAAATGTTCCAGTTCCGTGTATGTTTGCTACCTACATTATGCCACGTTGTAGCGGTTATGTCAAACCAATAAACAATAGAAAACTGGCAAACAAATTGCCACTTGCGCTACCTTGCGCATCAAGTGGGTATTATGACAGGTCTATTCTGATTTTTGAGTTGACGATGAGTTATCTTGCGACCAATTGAAGTGCCACGTGTAATCGATTTGGGCACCGCCGTCAGCTACTAATCCTGAGCGACCACATTGAGTACCATAGCGCAACGTGTTTATGAAAGCATTTGAAGTTGTTGCTTACTCGTGAGCAAGTTGTCTCCGCAATATGCATCATTTCAATTGCAGTGCCATAGATACCAGACCGTTCGACAGTTAAATCCTTTCCGGAGGATCCCATAGAAATTCGGATGACTGAATTTGATTGACAATATCAGGAAGACACAAAGTAGAAGCACACTAAATGTCAAATAGGAAGGTGGATGTTGCTTTCCTAGTGTGTCTAATGCGCGTGTTTGGCAGTGCTTAAAATGCATATGCTAGTATGTACCTATGCGTTTCATTCAGTCACCTTTCATGATAGTACCACGCAGACAACTTAGGTGCAAATCGATGATAGTTTGGGTCAGACGGTTTAGCGCTAAGGGTAAATTCGTCCTGCTCCTACAGACAAATACATGACATAAAATCGCAAGAGCTGAGTTTGACTGCTCACTCCGGTGAACGATGCGAGATGTGCTGCTTTGTATTGCCACGTCAGTTAGCACAGACTAACGCCTGTCTGATTGCAACTGCGGTGGTACCCACTAATTCCACAGAAGTGCGATTAAATAGGGAACAGCGGATTGTCCGATAAACTGTGTAGTCTAGTTGCCATTGAATGCTATGGATCTCGTAATGGTGGAACAACTTACTTGCGTACCCATCACCGATGGCTGTCTCTGTAAAAGAATAAACCTTTCAGCTTGCGCGTCCAAAGACCATGAATTTAAAAGGTATATGGGAGTATGACTTCTTATTAGACCGGTTTCCATTAGGATAATTAGTGGATTCAAACCACTCTAGTTAGGTGACGATAACTTCGGAATACCCGGCACATTGATGAATTCAAGCATTACTTATTGCAATGCAAATGGTGTATGAAGGTAGCTATAGTGTCAGAAAATGCACGATTGTTTTGATATCATTAAAACGATGGGGACCAATTTACCAAAGTGTGACTGCAGTTTAAAGCCCGCGATTTTTGAGTCTTTTCTCCGTATTTCCCATTCCGAAAACAAATCCATTACAATATTTTGCAGTTCAGCAGATCCTTTATTCTCTATCTTGACAATGACGTGAGTTCGATTAGGAGGGGCAATTAATGAAGAAAAGCCACATCCGACCGTATCGTATGGCACGTCTATCCTGGATGAAATTGAGGCGCGGAGCTGAAATACCGTGGCAAATAATGCTTATCAATGGGTCTAGAGTGATCAGCGAGAACATATTTTATCAAGCATACCCCAAACCTTCAGAACTCATGACAGTATGTGGGGCAAAGTGAGAAATTAGCCTAAATGATTTGGGCATTGTATGCTATTTGTATATCATTTCTATTTTGATATGAGTAATATATACCTGAAACAAGAACTGAAAGCAATACTGGTTACCTTGATGCAAACATCTTCAAACTGTCCAACTACTGAATGGTCTTCCAGTTCTTGTTTACTACTTAATGGTAACGGATTACCATCCTTCAGAAGTACTCCAGTTATCTTTATGACTGTAAGGACAAGAGATAATGAAGTTAGTATTGAAAAGCAGACTATTTCGCACGGCTATCTGGCAGAGAGGATTCGGTTATTTTAGCCAGGGGCGTGTGCATTGGCCGTTGTGTGTTTTCTATAATATTCGGACTGCTTTTTTCATAACCTTATGAAGCGAAGACTAATGTCGAGACAACTGACATGGTGGAGAAGTTAGCGTATTACCAACACCGGTTTTGTAGCGATCATTTAAAGACGCACAATATACTAATGTGAACTCACCATGTAGCCGCATTTGTTGGCATGGCGCAAACGCAATTGCTGTTGAATGAAAGAGGTAGCGTTCTTGAGGAGTACATTATGAAATCATTGGGCGCACGAGGTTCTTCTAAGTTACATTAAGTCATAATGTCTAAGTAAGCTGCACAAACCACTGTCTCGGTTTCATCATATCGGTGTATTCGGAATATTAGAGTTTCGAATGTGTGTGAATATCGACTAGTGTAGAAATTGTTACGGCGACAAGCATTTCAACAATTCCTTTCTTACGCATCTAAACGTCATTTACTCGGGCTATCAGACACAACTCCTCACTGCTTAGAGCAGCTTATTCTAACTGTACTTCTGAATGGTATAAAAAATTAACGACATAGTCAAAGGGCTGAGTTAATCCTGGGTGTGGCATCAGTATTTACTTCGTATGTATTGCATGCGTGACATTCATTGTCCTATGCGCAAGGTCTCATCAGATGAATACGTTGGTTGCAAATGACATGGGTGTGATTCAACGATACGTATTTACTACTTTACACTAAAGACTACAGAAATTATGTTGTTTTCGTGGGTTCGCGCAGCGCAAGTAAAAAGTCAGCAGTTTTGATTTTTACTAGTGGTTTAGTACTTCTCGAATGGGACTGTATGATATTTCTAACCCAAACGGTTCCGTAGTGAAATATCATCACGTAAAAATTAGCATAGGAGGGCCAATTGCAAGCACGGAATTTCTCACAAAACTTACCAATTAGTAGTAAGCCCCTTGACAGTAATATCATGGCGGTTATGCAGTATTTACTTGAGGTTGTGTCACGCACCCAATTTATGTACTCGTTACATGCCCATTCTAGACCTTGAATATTTCTGTCTGGCGGATATGTGTATCAAACGTACGAGAATTGATTTGCTAACTCTATGCTCCAATTAGGTAGCCGACAGTACCTATCTGACACACGCGCATGTGGGGCGTCAATCTGATTAAATGCGCTGTTTGACGGAACGTATGGCGGTCCATATCCAATAAGTTGGCCCCAGACGGATTAAAGATGTGGATGTTTCTATACCAGCTACACACACACCTCTGCCATGGAATAGCAATGGTGGGAGTTTGGTTTAAACCTCTACTCTACAGAACACATCGCCTCATTTTAAGACACAGATGGTCATCGTTTACGATATATCGTGGCTACCTGTTTACAGACGCACTTTGCTTCTGTCTCAGTTCACTTTTCAATTAAAAGATGGGACCCAAGTAAAATTGAAGTAATATTATGTATATAATACTAACAATAAACAAGATTTTGCTAAGCATAAATATTTAAACAATAAACCAATGCATTGCACTGTGATACATTACCAGGCAAGAAACCATTTTGGTATTGCATTGCGCTGGATCACCATGACTGACAACTGCACCATCTGCTGAACTACGACCAGCACCTGCTTACCAATCCCTGTTCATGTTCAGATTCGCTGCCCCGCACGGGTTTTCTCTAAATCAAGCTCTTACGCCTGTTTTGTACCTGCTGTTCGGATAGCATCCCGCCAAGTGTGGAAATATACCCGTTGAATTGTTTATCCATCTACCTACGTAGCTTGCTCTATGTTCCACACTTGTATGTCGTTCGTTTATTACCGGATTTGCACACACTTACCTAGTGACAATAGACCCCTTGAAGTCATCCGGGAACCTAAAGCATCGTACCCTCTATGCGCGGTACAGCCAACTTGTTAATGCGTATGGTTATGTGACCTAATATAAGCGACTGTGTGATTCCTCGGGCGAGACATTGTTTTTCAAATGAGCCCGTAGACTTCAAACACAGGGATTTGAACTGGTATCGCATAACTTGCAAATAATCGTTTTCTTAGAACTGAGCAGCAGTATTGCTTTGTTTCCTTTGTAAATTTTGGTATCCATCTGGATTATACCGCAGTGTACTGTTGGCTTTGGTTTAGTATGATCTGGGTGATTCAACAGTTAATTAATCATTCCCCAGTAACGCCTCACTGTAATAAAACCGGTCAAAAATCAAAATTTACTTACCAGCTGTTCAATATAAGCAAGATAGAATTGGCGAGCTCAATACTGAAGCACAGTGTAAAAATCAGATTAATTGGATCTTTATTACGACATCTCCGGAAGTCTAATCTGTCGATGATCCAAGTGTTGCAATCAACATAAATCATCCTAAAAGCAAGCGTGTTGCGTATCCAAGTTAGGTCATGGGGATTTGTTCTGTATCCATGCTATTATCAGGAATGGCCGTCCAATACAATGGGACGATTATTGTCCAAGTTAAGTGTGAATTGCATGGGCGTAGTGACTTGATTGTATTGATCTGTAAAAAGAATGTATAGTTTAGGGAGGAATTGATAGACGTACCTCCTGGACGTAACTTGCAGTGATACGCAGGATGAAGTGAATAAATTTAGATGCGTTTGGAAACGAGTATATCCGGTAAATTAAGCGAAGCGAGTATGTGGTTATCTGATAGTTGATTCAGGTATGCATGGTTGTTTGCGTGGATAAGACATGCCGTGTGTTTTGATCGTGGGAAGGCAATAAACAATTTGCTCAACGTGGATATCCCAGTTACCTATGTCAATTCAATGCACTTAATTCACCTCATTCATTTGAATATTACCGTGGGAACACGAAAGCGGGAGGATACATGCAACTATTTCATGCTTCCTCATTAATATAAACAATATCCAGTATGAATATTTGTAACAAAGACTGTGAGCGATCAGACAAGCTCGGGGAACCAACTGACGCTGTATATATCGATACGTGTGTAGCGGCGAAGCCAGTAGCATAGGCGGAAGTAACTGGACACTGAATTCTGATTTAATGGAATAAGTGTCGAGATGTGTACATCTCAAAATTGCCCAGACACCTTACTCTAGTTAAATAGCGCGCTTGCCTAACCAGACGTATTCCTTGATGCACAAAAGCTTTCCGGATTCTGATCAAAACTCAGTGTATAACAATATCCTTTTTCGGACTCTTCCCTTATTCATCCGTTTGATAAAGCTCATCCAGTTTATTTGCAAAATAATTATTCGTAAACCTTAAGCTGCTCCGGACATAGAAGTGGAAATTCCGTGATTCAACCTGTAATTCAGTATATTAACACTAGTAATGTACACATTGGTTTTTGCCAAACCTTCCATTTGACATGTTTATTTCACGTGAAATCGAGGACATAGTCGAAATTATTTGTCAATAATAGCTCTACAGATGAATGCAGGTTTCTGACGAAGAGCAATCTTTACCTACGGAAGAAAGTCTTGTTATCATTGAGATGTGAGTTGATGTTCAAATGTGTATTGACATGAAGAAGGTTAAAGCCTAATTTCAACAGCTTTCGAGCTAGCAGTCAATTTAGACAAAACAATTTCCTATAAATTGTGACCTTTAAAATTTTGTATCACAACGCGGAGATATTCGTCTTCAGATTAGGATCTTAACATAAATGACGCGACAGCTACTTGAGATTGGGATACCTGTGTGGAAGGAGGACATGCTTGGTGTTATTTTACCGGTCCATGCGTTTGATATTAATTGTACGCCAGGTATATGAAATCAGAAAACGATAGAAAAAGGACTAAGGATGGTGACTTTTGATGTAAAATCAGTTAGCTTCTCTTCGCTGTCAGATATTTTGGCATGTTTTACAACGGAAGTTTGAATGTAAAATATCGAAAGAATTAAACATGCATGTAAAGTTGGATAGCAAAATTTTGCTTCCCTTCCGTTTCACACATATTTGTAAGTTGCCATTACGCATTGCTCAACAAATAGAAGATTAAGAGACGTGCCAAAAATATCAGGACTCATTTCCTTTTTCAATTAATACGGAACTCACACATACTAGTGAGAGCTCACAATGATGAAAACGTTTTACATTACAATGAAACAATGGGACACTGGTATAAAACGGATAACAAAGCCAAGGCTTGACAAGACCTGTGGGATGTTTTGTGGGAATAACGTAGTTCATTTAAGTTACACAACAGTGTAAAACACATCTGTAGACTCATCATATTATCCACCTTAACCAACAGGTATATCCGTCTAACCCGATTTCATGGTTTTGGTGAGCACCATGTTTGTCTGCGTCTTGTCGTCAGTCAATGAACAGAAATGAGATCAATTACTATAAATTAGGTAAAGCATCGTCGACTCGATTGTTAATAATGAGTAGCTTGGGCGCCGAAGTGATAAAAGTCGTAAGGGCGTTCTACGGTTGACAAACTGGAAGAGAAAAGTAATTCCGGCAGCACTCCAGTCGGCTGTATTGAGTGGCAAATTTCAATTTATGACCCCTCAATCCTGAGTTGCAGTGTGGGTTCAGGAGTTGGCGGATCGCGTGATCGGTCTTTTCCAAATTATGTAACACGAGGATGAGATCACGTCGTAGACGGCGATATCTTCCGCTGTACACTACCAGGTCTATCAGACGCCTAATGTATTACAGATGGGACAAAACCTCCTCATTTTTCATTGCCTGTCGCTGTGCGGTCTGGAGGGAAACCGGGTCGCGTTTTAACCAGCGTTCTCAAGCATGGATCCTGTGTTGGAGGTACCAATGAAAACCGCGGATTTGTGGATTACGTTTTTGGATTCCAGCTTTTCTTCCAGATTAGTCTGTTAAACGTGAAGGTTCTGTGTGAATTACACACCAATGGTTTCCTTTTGCTGTATCCTTTAATTTGTGTAAATTTGGTAGATGTCCTCTGGCTTATTTCGGAGTTCTCAACCCAACTACCATCTGCGTCCGGATTTGTTGCATGTCTGGACAACTTCCTTGATTTGGGGCTATTATCGACAAAAGCAGTCGTGGAATCTAACCCACCTATCTAATGCCAACTGCGAGAAATCACACACAAGATTGGTTTTTGTTGCATAAATGCATTACCTTGACGCTTGAGTCTGAATCTCGAAAAGCTTAGTCTCGCCGTATTCAGCTAGTTAAGCGTAGGGTACTCTCCACGCCAACAGCAAAGCGAATAAAACGCGAGGCCTCAAAAGAAAAGCGAAGCTGCTCCTCGGTTAAAAATATACTCATCGCAGAACTAAGTGATAAATTACTTTCTTTAGAATCCCAACCTAATGAGATGAGAAATACGCTGGCGCTCTTTGAACCCCTCAAACAGCAACTGATTACGCTTGACTACATCAGTAATCCATTGGAGAAGACTGATGTTGTTATAATGGGAACAGCAACGCAGTTAATTGCCTTTGTTGCCTCGGGAGCGCACGAACGAATACGTAAAGCAAAAATGTGGTTGTTTTAATGTTCTGGACAGGCTGAATCTGGATAAGGAAGCACTAACAATACTGAAAGCTCGTAACATGTCTAATGTTGACTGCAAATACCAACGTTTGAAAATGAAAACACCGAAACACAGCTGTCCACTTATTTTCAAATGTTTGAGCGAGGAAGTCGCGCAGCGATTCCCCCATTGTGGATTCTTTCTAGGCTGGTGCACCCAATTTAAGGGTATTTTGACTAAAGCAGATAGAACACCCCTACCATGGTCCGAACTTGGCACTCTGCCGCGAACACCGGACAGAATAACTAGGCTCTTCGAGAAATCTCAACCAGAAGTCCAAAACTTGAGTGTATCCAAGGTGGATACTGGATACATTCATTTAGTCATCGGTAATCTAACAACGTTGTCAACTAGCACCAGAGCCGTCCTTCCTTGTCTCACTGCATCACCCTCTACACAAGGAACAGATAAAGCAGGTTCTCCTATTCCTGACAAC